ACCAAACATTACCAGTCATGTAATATCTACTTCATGACTTTGTTCTAGGGTTGGGTCAATCTGCCTGATCTTTTCAAAGAAACTGTCCTAAAAGTTTTGTTCAGTTGTCTTTTCCAAAAAATACTGTCTGTTTGTTTGTTTGGGAAAAAATATTTTTAGCACTTATATCATTTATATTCTTTTTTATAATGATTGTAGTATGGTTGTTTTGTTTAGACGACCACAGTAATAATCAATTAATGAAATATGTTACTGCCTAGAATTGCAAACCAACCAATTATACAGAAATTCCCTGAATATTTAAAAGTAGTTTCATGTTTTTATCTGGCAACAAAATGCATACATCTTTCTGTCTTCTAGTTGATCTTGGCTAGGAAAAACAAAGCATTGTCAAACCTAGCTAGTGCTTGGATACCCAGGAAAAAACAGAGTTCTAGATTACTGGGAATTCAAAAAGCATCACTCAAGACAGCAATAAAATATTTCCATACTGTGGCCAAGATAACTCAATGGGCCTTTCCAAAGAGATGAATTCAAACTTATTGGTCTTCTTCTATTTTAGATATTATCTTGCAATAGTGCCATTATCTCTATATGGAGGGTTTTAATTATACTAATAATTAATAATTTTAATTTAATTTATTATCACGGAAGTTCCATTCTATTGTACAGCATTGTAAACCACAAATTATTCTATAAGGCTTTAGAATTTAGTAAAAAATAGATTTTACAAAATATTTGCAGGACTGTCCATTGTATTGTCCATGAACACACATATGATTCTAACATGACATTAGGAGATTTCAGAGATCCTTCTAGTACACCATTAGAGAAGAAGTAAATCAGCAGAATAATTCTTTGTAGAATGGATTTTAAGTTCCTTTCATTTAAAATGAAAAACATACACACAATTTCACCCCCTGCTTTACATATGGAGCATATAGAAGACAAAAGAGACCATGCTAACCCAGAACATATGTTTTTGACTAAAATTACACTATAGCTTATTATGTCCATCCATGAAACAGTATACTATGGTTTATTACAGTTGCCATGGGGAGCATTATCTAAATCCATTACATGCTGACTACAAAACAAAACAACTTCTAACACCAGAACAGGTACAAACCATTACCTTAAATTATAGCAGAGAATCAAATTATTTATTCATTTAATGTTTTATATGTTATCCTTCCTCCAGAAAGTTCAGAGTGAATGGAGATTTTCTCCTTATACATTTTAACTCAACAATTATGAAAGCAAGATTAAATTTACAGTCAACTTTATGGATGAATGAGAATTTGTCTGACTCTCCATAACTGGCACATATCTCTATACACAATAAATACCTTGCTGAAGGTGGAGCAGAAGGAATCACATTTCTAGATGAAGTTTCTTTGCTGAGTTTTGTCTGTGTGTAGTACAGGTGTGCCATGTAGAACTAAGGTTTTTATAAAAATAGGAATTAAATCCTTGGCATTTCGTTTTATCTTTCACTTACTGTTTTCTTCATAAGGAATATTGATTTAAAAGTGATATAAAATAAGATAGCAACAAGTATAAAACAGATCAATTTATAATTAAAAATTGCTATTTTATACTAGTGGCCATATCTTGTTTCTGTTTTTATTGAATAAGTATCATATATGTGAAAAAATGGAATTCATTTTCTCAAAAAGGCAAATTGTTTCATTCATCTACATCATAGGGCAAGTTATGATTTGGCTGCTACACAAAATACTAATTCAGCAATTAAAAGCAATTTTGAATATAATTGAAAATGTTACTTTAAAAAATTACCCAATTAGAAATATACTTGCATAGATTGAAAAGACGTTAACAGAATAAAATAGTACATGAAACAAGAATAGATAGCATAAGGACAAAATGTATATAACTATATTTCTCTTCCTCAAATACATTGGCACTCACATGGTTAAGGCATCAGGTTGGAGGTTAATGAGCCCACATTTGAGACCAGAGTGTTGCTGTGTGGCAGGGTGAGGTCCTGTCCTTCATTCCAGCTTCTTGGCGAGGACATTAAAGGAACCCCATGGGTCAAAATTCAGTCAGACTTTCTGTCCTGTCTAGATTCTAACAATTCCTGAGCACTGAGATAGGGCATCAGTGTATCTTGTGGTGATGATGCTGGAAAATCTCACTCTCTGGCTTCATAGAGACGTTAAACAATAATAGAGACAGGACTGACCTTGTGGGGGCCCTCTGATGTAAGGGCCACCAGGATAGCAATAGCATGTAGACTTATATACTGCTTCACAGAGCTTAACAGCTCTCTCTAAGAGGTTTACAGAGTCAACATATTGCCCCCAACAATCTGGGTCCTCATTTTACCAACCTCAGAAGGCTGAGTTAACCTTGAGCCAATGAGAATCAAACTGCTTGCAGTCAGCAGAATGAGCCCACAATACTGCATTCTAACCACTGTGCCACCAGAAAGGATGACCTCTCTTCCCCCACCACAACTGCTTGAGACTGCCCAGTGAGGAGGAAATAGAACCATTGCAAAACAGTGCTTTTGGTCACAACTTGATAGGCTATCCAATGAAATACTACAGCTAATAGTATCAAAAGCCATTGAGATACATAAAAGGACCAGGAGAGTCACACTATCTGCATCTAGGTCTTGACAGAAGTCAGCACTGAGATTCTGGCAAATCTGAAACAACTATATCAGCAAAATGTGGTGCAAATTGGTCTTAATTATTTCTTAATAGAGAGTTGCTCAACCAAAGTAAGGCTATTAGACAATGGCCCTATGACACTATAAGAGAGGAAAAATAAAAGCGATTCACTTCTCTCATCATTGAACATGAGTATGTTTAATCAGTACATTTCCTCATTGTTCTCCACTAGCACTTTAGATATCCTTTCTGGTACTTTATTTCCCAGAAGTTCTCGGTAAACCAAAGAGTCTATTAAAATAGGCTAGCAGAAAGAAGTTGCTTTGGGAAATCTTGTCTACCACTTGGCTTGCCTCTCATTGCCAGTAGCTCATTCAGTCAGAACAGCCTACTAGATTGCTATGGAACTCCCCAAGTATCTTTTGGGAACCTACTTGGATCCCTCAGGTGTCTAGGGTAGGCCATCTGAATGGCACTTCTTCTGTGAAGACCTAGAAAGCAGTCAAAACCTGATCTGAACATTGCAAAGGAAAAATAGAAATCTCTCTCCATATCCAGATCTCACATCTCAGACACAAACATAAAAAAGACCAGTTACATATGTTGGTATGCACATGGTTGCAGTCTATGAAGGTGAGGGCATCTTTTTTGAGATTATGAAAATGAAGTGTTTCTTTGAGGTACCTTGGTGTCACATAGGCACCGGACACTATCTGACAGATAGGTCAATGCTTGCATATTTAAGCATTTGGAATGGAATACTTGTTAGATTGCTCTGGGTCCCAGAGTATGTTTTCCTAACAACCACAGAAGGATAAATGCTAAGAAAAATAATAAAGTGCGCTTCATATTGTGAAGTATTAGATATAAATGCATTAAGAGAACAGCAGAAACATTACTATTTAATCTTTTTTTTTTCTTCATGTATTTTAGACTCCATCACCCCAATCTTCACGTCCTTGATGTGGGTAGTAGAAACTTACTTTGAGGGCAAAGATGGAAAGGCTACAATAAATCAAAATACTAAAGGCTTCATATAATTATCTGACAATTGAAGTATTCCAAATACAAATGAAATAGAGTTCATTTTTCATTTCATGCTTAATATATATCTGTATCACAATGACTTCTACCCTATCATCACTTTATCATCACAGGCATCTACCCATAACCACAATAATCTCAAACAGGCAAAACATGCATTGTGATCACAACACAGCGCTGCTCTTTCAGCCTTGCATTAGGACATCACACCCACATGTGTCAAAGATGAAACTTCCATTCTAAAGCCAGCAAAGCACATTTCATCCTTGGCCCCCATATGGATATCTTAGCTTCATTATTTGTTCATGTTTCAGAAAACATTAAATAATATTTTCAACAAATCATTCAGTAATTACATCTTGAATTGTCCCATGAACCGATTTGTATTTTTTTTCATTCTGATAAATGTAGTTGCAAGATATTTGGATATTACCTAATGAGGCAGGGTTAATGCATACCTTTACAATGCTATGCAAAATATACTTGTGAGAATGAAATTACTAAATATCAGGATACTGAAGATAGATACTTAAAATATCCTACTTTGGACACATTATGCAAAAAGCTGTAGCTCTCCCCCAAAAGGTTCTAACATTGAGAAAGGTGAAAGGAAGGAGAAAAGAGGATGACCAGCAACCAGGTGGATGGACTCAATAAAAGTGACAATGAGTATACCATTCCACGGTATTAAGGACCAGGGACAGGTTTTGATGGGCGGGGGGGATCTATGTGGTCACTAAGAGTCAACACCAACTGTAATCATTCAAAATTATTCTGTGCTCAATATTAATTTTGCAATCTTTTAAATATGGTTAAGATCTGGAAGAAAAGGTTTCACACATAAGGAGTCACACCTCGAGTTGCAGAAATTAAGCTGTATTGAAGGTTTTGCCCGACACCACCTTCACAAAGAATATCATCAGATAAAATATTTTTAAAGTTTAATTGCTCAGTTTACTTTTAAGCCAATATATATGTCTAAACCACACGTGGAACTCAACAATTTATCTATAATGTGATCGTTTAAAAAAAATCCTGGCATGTTGTTCACTATAATAGTGGAGACAGACTACTTAAGCAAAGCACTAATGAAATTCTTATCAGCTAGATAAATTGTACATCTGGTCTAAGCTCTGAAATAGAGGCAAACAGCCAAACCGCTTAGCTAAGTATCTTTTAAAAATTATTTCCTCCCATGATGCTCTGCAATTGAGTAAAATTCATGGTGGTTTTTTTTTAAAGGTTTTAAATGGTCCAAGCGTAAGCTGGTTTGGATTAGAAAAGATGCCACAAAGATTCAGCAAAATATCTTGCCTTATAAAATGATCCTCCACAGGTATCACTTTCATCTGATCCACATAAATCACCTTCTCTGGCAGCAATCATGCCAGCAATGCAGCTATTCTCCTTTAAATACGAGACACAGCACTGCTTTTGAGCAATTCTGCAACAAATAAAAAAAAATATTGCTTTCACAACACAGGCTGCTACTGGCAAATACTCTTATACAGTGAAGATGGAAGGCATAGGATACAAGCAGTATCGGTTTAAAATATGTCAACTCAAATTTAAATGAATATTTGTACCAAGTCATACAACTGGCAGGTTCTATTTATATCATTTTGCTTAACATTAACTACCTGGCAAGTAGTTAGGCTTCTCTGAATAAATAGAATGGAGCACAACCACAGAAACTTGTATCAAAATGGTGCAGGAAGGTGTTATATCTGAGTCAGTACAATCAAAGTAGTGTCTTGCTTTAGACATAAAAATGCCAGTGGTTAGCACTAAAAAGGTAGAAGAAATCAAACCTGTACAAAACTGAGCTTTGAAGATATACCTCCTTATATCTCCTTAAGCTGTAACCCAAACATGTAGTAGTTACATTTTATGATAAAGTTCACATATACAAAAAAAAAAAAAGCAGAAAAATGATACATTCAAGGACACCATTTTAGATGGTGTTTTCCCACACAGCTGCAAAATCCTCCATGTAAAAGAAGTGAGATAGCTTGGCAGATGTTTGTGAGGTTTGAAAATCATGGTCTGACTTATTTAGGATTCTTGACAGAGGAATGACAACAATTGATGCTGATGTAATTCAAATTATTTGCAGTGTACAGATGGCGAAAATGTCCAAGAAAAAAATATATCTGGGGATGAAAATCAGAAATATAAAGCTCAAAAACTCATGGAAAAAAAAAAAGGAATAAGGAAGTGCCTTTTTGAAATTTCTAACAAAATTGGAAGATGAACCAAAACATAAAGGGTGCCAAAAAGTGATTTTGCCTAGAACAACCAAATGTCTAGAGCCTGACTGCTAGCCATCTCCTATGGCCACAACAATCTTGATCTTCTTTAGGGTGAATTGAATTGTTCTGTCTCTGGAAATCTGAGCCAACTAGATAGTTCTCATATCCTGTCATTCTCTTCCCAGCATAGCAATTTGTATGCCAAAATCATCCTGGAATCTGTGTTTGTTCAGCAGCCCAAGACTGCCAAATGGCATCTTTATTCACAAGTCATTTTGTTTCTTCTTCCCTTCAAAGCTCAACACGGCTAATTCCCTGCCCGATTCTTAACCCCTGAAACTGTTTTCCAAGTTCTTTTCCTACCTCACCTTATCACAAATAGTTTGTATGGTTGGCAGATCACATGACAGAATGGCAGATGGTATTTATTCTCTCCATTCTGTCACAGTACCGAATGCCATGTTTTTATCACAAGACACATTTTTTTGCAAAGTCACAATATAAAGACTAGCTATGTTTTGTAAATTAGGTTACAGTGAGTTGCTTTGAAATTAATAGAATTTTCGGAGCAGGCATCCAGCCTGACACTGGCATATGAAATGAAAATAAAGATCCATTAAAATACTACACCTTTTTTTTTTACTAGAGGAGCATTTTAAATGTGAACTTCAACAATTTAATTTCCCATTGTGCTAGACTGTTTTTCTTCTTCTTCACAGCTAGAATAATTAGATTTCTTTTTCTTTACTGGACTACCTCTACTGTTTTAGATCAAGAGTTCTGTTTCTCCATATGTCTTCAATAGTGCACTCACTATTAGAGATATATGAAAGAATTGAGCTTTTAGTCTGCAAACAGTCATATCATATGAACGTTGACACAACATACAACAGGGGACTCCTTGGTACTCTCTGAGGTTGGTTGTTTGCTTGCAGTCATTTAGATACCAGACTTCTTCAGTGCCAGGGAATGGGACTTGCACTCTATTTATATATAGCAGCTTGTCCCATCAGTGTTGATGCCACTATGTTCAGTTATTTAGACTGAGCTTTGCATAAGGGCATACATTGAGGGGGTGCCAGCAAACTACAGAGAATCTGGGGGCACTTTCCTTATTTCCTTACTCATCATATTCCCATAGCAGCCTGTCCCACCATAAAGTGACTCTAGGAGTCTTAAAATAAAAACATTAAAACAAATATAATTAAAAGGCATCATAGTTGAGAGGTTTTGGATAAAATAATTTAAAAAATGAGTAGTCTACCACCTCTGGTGGAAGGAAGGACATTTGAGTGACTCAGCAAATAAGGGCCCCAGCTTGTCCCTGAGAAGACTGTTTGCAAGCAGTGTTGCACAGAGAGCAGGAACTCTCTCCATTTCAGGGACACCTTTTTAAAATTTGCCCAAAAGAATCCTGGGCCTTCACAACAACCTTGACATGAAAGCTTAGTATTTTGTAAACAATAAGATGCAGATGGTTGCATTGGGGGGAAATATTATTCATGGATGTCTGACAATGCACAATCCTCTTCCAGAGATATGATAATAGATGTGAACAGATTTGAGAAATCTGAGATTTTTAGAATGGACCATTTAAGTATGTCCGCAACATTAAATCCAAATATTATTAGAAAATGTCTGAAAAGCTTCATAATAATAATCTAAGCAATATATCTGACAGTAGTGTCAGCTAGTATCGACCTGACATAAACAATATCAAGTTGATTATATTATAGTGTGTAGGATATTTGTAAATTCAAATTTTTGTGCTTGGTTTAAAAAAAAACTTTTATTTTACCTACCTGCAAATATCACCACTTGTTCCACTTATTGGGATTTCCATACATTCATTGTTATCAATAGCCCATTGTTGCCCAGCAGCACAGCAAGTTTCAATTAAATCTTTTGTTGAATCTGAAAAATAGCAATTATATAGTTACACAACGTATGTTTGGGACATCAAACCAGATTGAAAACACCTGTAACAAAATATGATTGTTTAGGGCAAGGGTCTCCAACCTTGGCAACTTTAAGACTTGTGGACTTCAACTCCCAGAGTTCCTCAGCCAGCTTTGCCAAGGTTGCCAAGGTTGGAGACCCCTGGTTTAGGGTACCACTGTAAAAGATTCTGGCCATTCCTTTCTATTCCCCTTCCTCCATCCTAGATTTCCTGAATGTAATAATCCTTCTGTAAAATAATTAGCACACTCAATCAACATTGGGCTTTTTATACATGTATGTTTGGATAAATACTTCCTACCTAGCCTCTATCATAGATAACATGGTAAAGAATATCAATGGAATAAACATCAGTAATTCTTCATAATGTACCTCTCCCAACAATGGGAGAACCTCTTAGAAAAAAACCTCTTAGCTGATCTTAATACTTGGATGAGTGGAACCATCACAAATTATTGAGGTTCTATATTAACACTTTGAATTAAGACTGGAAGCTTGGACTTCTATTCCTTCCCCAAACTTAAAATGATTTTGGAATCTTTAAAAACTTGGGATTTTCAAGTCCACTGATACCATTTTCTTACATGTGAACACAGTGCCAGATAGTCATGAAAGCTTCTCAATAATTGGATTGAATCTGATTCTTGTTTCCTCTTGCTCCCTGAATGATAAACTCTAGAGATGGCTAGTGCAGATTCCAAATGATATACTTCAGCAGACTTTAACAATCTTATAATTTAGGCTTCAAACATTGCACAAGTTAATGTCATTGCCCAGAAGATCATTGGTTGCTCTCTCCTCTCTTTGGAAGAGCTTTATACTCCTACTGCCTTCAGAAACTTCAAAACATTCTCAAAGATCCATCTCATCCTGGGAACCCTTTTTCTGAACTATTACCATCCGGCAGATGATACAGAATAATAAAAACAAGGACAAATAGGCTCAAAAACAGCTTCTATCCCAGGGCAGTAGCTCTTTTGAATTCTGCTGTATAGTGCAGTGTTGGTGTGGTGTTGGGGGTTTCCGGTTCAATGTGTGAAGGGTGAAGGATGTGTGTTTGTGTTTATATTCATGGTCATGGTCATGATGTACACTGACGATGGTGTTTGATTTCGTTGTACGAGGTGCAATGACAATAAAGTAAACTAAACTAAGTTCCAGAGAACAAACCCTATTGAAAATGGTCTTATTTCTAAAATAGACACAGTATTACTCTCCTGTTCTAAAATGGTACCATCCACTCACAAGAAATAGGATCAGCAAGCTTAAGAAAACAGTATTTCAAAAACAAATTTATATATGGAAAAAGATTCCAAATGAACATAGTGAGAACCATGTTCAGTGACCACAGAATATTGGCTGATTGCTGAACAAGGGAGGGAACAAAAATGCACAGAGGGGAGATGAAATATTATATCCTGGAAAAAGGATGAATAGATGAAAGCCCTCCACTCATTCTGTATTTTGTTTCAGACTCCATTTAGATGTAGTACATACTACACACAGTATGTAGTAGCTAAGGTATTAGACTAAGACTGAAGAGAACCATTTTAAGTTCATACTCAGGTACAGAAACCCACCAGATGCTTTTTGGGTTATAACTTACTCTTTCAGCCCAACTTGTCTCAGAGGATTGAGACAGTGGGGATAAAATTGGAGAAAGAAATACTATATGAAGCTGCCTTGAAAAATAGGATGAAAATGAGAATTGAAATCTAATAAAACCTTTAACATTTTTAGTTAACACATTTTACAGTACACATGCCATTCCCTATCCCCTCTAAAACAAGGCTGCACGTTCATTTCCTTCTACATAGACTTTCGTTTTTTCTCATAGTGCTTAGAAAAGCAGGGTTCTGACCACACACAAGAAAAGAAGTTATGCCACAGCAGACAGTATTGTCAATGGTAGCACAGGAAACATTTTAGATTCAAACTTTCTAAAAGCAACCTTTTTAAAAGCTGACTCCCCCCACCCCCAAAGAATCACTCTATGTGATTGAAGAACAGTGATATTTCTTTCTCAAGAATGGTTTTACTTGCAAAATGGCCTAGAAAGTTTCACAAATTCTTTAAAGCATATTTGTGAAGCTTTCTAGGTCATTTTGCAAATAAAACCTAGTTGGATTAACCTGTTTTATCTAATGGTATGAATAAAAATGTATTATACTGACCCAACAATGTCCAGCTATTTAAGAATGATTTGTCTTTTTTAAAATCATTGTCCAAAAATATTACATAAGGCATCACTGATAAATATTAGTTTAAAAGGAAATTCCTCTGGGGTGATGAAGTCCTCTAATTTGATAAAGTCTAAACTTTGCTGATCTATAGACTTTCTGTGCTCAGGCTCAATACAGAAGGTTAATAGGATATATTGAATAGTTTATGGTCCATAATTTGAAGCATACTAAATTAGCTGTCCAGTGGCAGAAAAGCATTAAGCTGATGAGCCACTCAAGATTCAATCTATCAGTAAAACAGATATAAATGCCATATTAACATCCAAGGTAAGCCAAGATAAGTATATGCACATAATACCTCTAAATATAAATAAGGTATTAATGAAAGGCTTATTAGCTTCATCATACGGAACAACAAATTAAGATTGACAAACATTAATTCACATATATTTTGTTGCTGAAGATCCATTTAACAGTCATTCTAAATATTCTATAACATTAATGTCTGAAACCATAGGATATCTAGGTTTAGAAAAATGTAGCCATACAGTCACTAATAAATTTTCTCCTAGTGGTAGATTTCATCAAAATAATTGCATTTTTAAAAATCTCTACATTTTTAATTTCTCCTCCAAAGAAAAACCTGGAAAGAGAAAAGTATGTTCTGAATCTGGCAAGTACAGCTTATGAAATATAACAGATAATGAAGAAGAGATCAAATTTTTATCCTCTCTGAATGTGAGCCATGATCCAGGTAAAGGTCCTTTTGCACATACTTATAAATAAAACAGAAAGGGCAAGGACTGATTAGATTCCATCTGAAATGGAATATTGTTATGGGAGATACCTTTTCTGAAATAAGTAAAAATATTTTAATTGCTTTAGGAATTAAGGAATTTTTTTTAAAAAAATAAAAGCGGAATGCATAGTGCTTACATTACCTTGTTTAATTTATTGCTATGAAAATATTCTACTCTAAATTATCTCTGAAATGGAATATTGTAATGGGAGTTATTAGTTGATGTGAGTTCTGAAAAAGAGGAGCAAGGATGTTTAAATCATCCTGATCACCATATCTTTTTTGTTCACATATTGGATTTTTTTATTTGCATTCTGAAGTCGAACACAGTAGACACAGAGCAAAAATATGTTACCCTAAGGCTTACTTTTCTAAGTTTAAGATTAACATTGTTGAATTAAGATGGACCTTTTCCATCATTAGACTATTCATCTTCCACTGTGATGCAGAAACCAAACATTATATTGGCAACAGACATGGAATAGGAGGAAGAAGGAATAATATGTATTTTCACCACCTTGAGATATTGATAAAAATAATAAAGGTGGGATACATATAAGTAAATGAATAAAATAACATCTAAATCCTGAAATCAAATCTGGTAGGATTTCTTCCTCAAACACCTTTTCCCCCCAATATCCAGGTAAGTCTAATGTTCAAGTATTTGAATCAAAGACTGAAATCTAGGGACAGGGCAAAATTTGATAATTGATCATAGCTTTGTAAAGATCTTAATCAATCCTAACTAATGATGACTATTGGACACACACTTAAAATGTTCTTAACAATACATGAAAATAAGTTGCCATTGTCAGTCTTCTTTTGGAGTATGCTTTTTATATTCTGGGATATGCGTTTAAACTCATAGCCCTGGATTTTCCTGGTGGTTTCTCATCCAAATGTTAACTAGGCCTGAATTTTTGGTTTCTGAGATCAGTTTAGATTACTAGGTGTTACCTTCTAGTTGAAAGATCATGACCTATGACTGAAATAATTAAATTGTAGATGATTCTAGCATGAAGTGCTATATTGACAACATATCCAAGTGACTGGACAAATACAAATGCTGAAAATTTGTTATAGATTTTCTATAAAAAGGATAATTGATTGAAGTTATAGAATATTACCACAAGAGAAGTAAGAATAGTTTAAACAAATCAGTTTAACTTTAGTCTATTAGTTGCCCTGGTCTGAATTGGATCTGGAAAGAGTTTTGCTTGATATTTCATTCCATTCATTAGCTGATCTTCCAAACTTTCAGTGATGATATTCCCCATCTATTTGTAAGCAATTGCTATTATAACCTGTATCTCACATTTTTTAAAAATTGCATAACTAATTGAATAATAACTAATTGAAGAGTTTCAATGTTAGAAATTTGAGTTTGGGATTCTGATAATATATTATGGATGCTTTCACAAATCAGCCATTAGGAACTTAACCAGTTATAAAGTACCACTTTCATAAAATGTTAGCTACATTTATTCTAGTGTCGTCACCCAATCCTACATGCTCCATACAATCCTGCATGACTTTGTCCTTTAGGCAGGTAGGCATTCTTCCAGAGAAAGCTTGATCTGTAGTTATTCAGCCTTGATTACCTTTTGAAGGCAACATTCTAGAATCCATGTGGGATCCAGTCTCATTCTTGAGTATAAAGTTAACGGGGTTTGGCAATACCACAGTGGAAGACGTTTTGCAACTTATAGGCACTTAATTCAAGATTACAGGCTTAGTATGAAGACCTCACCCCTTTCCTAAGAGGTCTGTAGGGGGCGTGCATAAGTGCACCATCCCTGTCCTATTGTTTCTTTTATTTTTCTTATATGTACCCATTTCCTGTATTCATAACTATGTATATACTGATACCTATTATCTTGTAAGCGATTGACAAATCAAAACAAACAAATAAATAAATAAAAAATAAAAAGACAAATACCTTGATTGGAATTTTGCTTATTGTAGTCCCAATT